GAAAATATTAAAGCCTGCCCTTCATGCTGCAATTACCGCTGGCCAGGAGGACATAGCATGCTTCCTCTACCGAAGACTCCTTTACAATTTTTACAGAGACTATGGCTTCATTCTTCTTGAAGAGTGTGTAACTAAGAAAATGTTCAGTAAGAGCTCTAATTATCATTTCTTTTCTTTCTCTTTGCTTTATAATTGTTATTTTACTTTTCTCTAACAAAACTTTTTGAGATCAGAAATTGCATGGGATTTACTCAACCATTTTCCAGAGTTGGCAACTAAAGAACCCTCTTAGGGTTACATGCCAATCATTTTAACAGTTGCTAAAACACCACCTCCATTCTACAGAAGAAGTCAACTTAAATTTGTGAGATTGTGGATATATCATTGTTAGTATTGCTTCGCCCTTCATATTTACATATTTTACTTAATTTTGCTTCTAATCTATTTAATTTAATTATGAATAATAATTAATATATTATTTGATTCAACACACTTCACAATGTATTTATTAAAAAATTATTATTTTGAAATTTGAATTAAATGTGAGAATGCTTTAATGGTTGAACTAATTAATTATTAATAAGTGTATTGAATCAAAAGGTGTATTATAATTTTTTTTAATTATTTATTAAACTTGGATTCCTAATTACTCTCATACACTAGAAATAAATTTTTTTGGGTTTTGCCATATCCTTCTTAATTTGTTTTCCGATTTGTTCTTCTGGACTGATGTAGTCTATTAACTGCTATTTTTTAAAAATTATAATTGTAATTGAAGGCATACAAGTAAATGTAGAATTAATCAATCCAAGCGATGCAGCTCATGATGCCTCAGGAGAAGAACCCTCGTGTTATCAATCTTGTCTTCAATTCCTAAGTATATATTCTTCTACGTCTGTATTTTCAATATTTCTTTCTTTATTATTTTATTCCCTCTGATGACTTTCGTAGAGTTAGTTGGGTCATTTGTTGTTCTTGTACCGTAGTTAGAGGCAATCCCTTTAGATGTATTGTTATTTTGGCTAGATGTCATGGTGAGGCGATGACTATTGCAGCAACGAAACTCATTCTTTCGAAATCCTAATTACATTTCATTCATTTGCAGAGGCACTACGACGCAAGCCGGTTACAACTCTTTTAAAGATCCTTGGCAAGTTGGATACACCTCTTTTAAAGATCCTTGGTAAGCAGCCGCGTCTCCGCAAAATTAACTATTGATTAGAGTTTGCTTGGTTTGGTAGACGTAGTTATTACTCGATCAAATTTTATTTTACTATATTGTAAAATTTTTAAAATTTTTAATAAATTTTCAATAAATACTAAATAAAGGTGACCAAAAAAAAAAAAAAACTAAATAAATACCTTACGGATCTTTCGAATTTTGTAATAAATACCAAATAAATTTCTAATAGACTTTTCAAAATCCAAATTCAATTATTTTCAATAATAAACTTTCCTTCTAATGCAATTCTACTTTATTATAATTTCAACTACTTCAACTATAATTTAATATAAAATCAATTATATCCACGAGCGGGTGGATGAACTCTTTCAGTTTAACCAGATATTTTGGTTTCAAGCTTGAAAATGTAGCTTCGTTAAAACTTGTGAGGGGGAGTTTTGCCGCTCGTTGGATCCTGTCCGACTCGAATCTGGATTAGTCAATGACCTAGTGGGCTTCTAAATATCAGGTGGTCCACACAAAAAATATATATAATCAATTATATGTGTAAAGGTTTTTCTAACATGTACTTTAGGATGTATTAAATATATATTTTCATCATAAATTTATATTAGAAAATAAAAATTAAATTATAACCTCTCAAGTATCCAATTAAATTCATATGATATTAAAATTAATATTAACTTTTACATCTTTTTATGTACATTTATATTAAAAAAATAAACATAACATGCGTTTTAAGGGTACAAATTAGAAAATCTCTATTTTTAGTAATAATTTTTTATATGCATTTTTAATCATCTTATGATCTTACTATGTTGTATGCATAAGTTGTATGAAGCTTTGTGAATGCATATTTAATTATACCCGTTAGGCTTCCTCCCCTTGAGATTTTTTTACTGCTTAAAAGTAAAAAATAAAAAATAAAAAAACATAAATCTTCAATAAATACTAAATAAATAGCCCTTAGCTTTTTAAAATTCGAACTCAATTATATTATATTATAATTATTGTTAAAATTTTCAATAAATCTTGAATAAATACCATCTTTTAAAAATTTCAGTAAATACTAAATAAATACTCAATGGTTAAATACCAAATAAATAAATATCCAATGGCTTTCTAAAATTAAAATTCAATTATACTTTACTATTTTATAAAGACAGTTAAACTCTTCAATAAATCTCGAATAAATATCTAATAAACCTTTTAAAGTCTTTAATAAATACTAAATAAATACCGAACAAATCTTTTAAAATTTTAAATAAATACTTAATAAACTTTTAAAATCCAAACTCAATTATAATTTGTTATCTTATTATATTATAAAAATTATTAAAAACCTACAATCAATCTGGAATAAATACTCATTGACCTTTTTAAAATCCTTCTAAAATATCAAATAAATACTCAATTAGTCTTTTAAAATCATCAATAACTAATTATAAATTTTAATTTTAATTATCAAGATCTTAATTTGATTCCACAAATTAATTCAAAAAAAAAAAAAAAAAGAACCCAACAACACTTCTTCATATACTTCAATTCAATTGATTTGGCAACTTCAGTTCCAAATTAGTTTGAAAATTATTACTATATAATAGTTCAAATTCAAATTCAATTATTTCTTATTATAGTAACAAAATTATTAAAATTTTCAATAAATTTTGAATAAGTACCAAATGGTCTTTTAAAATCTCTTTAAAATCTAAAATTCAATAGT